GCCGCTGTGGAGGTTTAGAGGGCGAAGCCACCTGGGCAAGGATCAGGAGGCAGGCGGGCTGTCAGCAGTGTGAGCAATGACCATTCCATCAGCAAGTATTTACTGAGCGCTCACCGTGTGCCTGGTGCTATGCCGTTTACTGGATGGGCAGGATTCAGGCTGGGCTGGAAAGCTGTTCTTAGAACCTTGGTTTCTAAGTGGGACAGAGGACAGAGATGGCCCAGCATTAGACTGCTGATTGAAGTAGACCCCACGCGTCTCTGGGCCACCAAGGTGGTTGGGGGGGGGCGGGTCTCAGAACCAATAGGCTATGGGAGGGACTGACCCAGGCCAGCCTACCCACCATCCTTGTCCTCTGCGAAACCGAGGCTGGGTCACTTCAGCACAAGACCAGAACGGGAAGGGCCCTGCAGCTGGCCCAGCGCAGGTGAGACCTAGTCACCTCCCAAGGGGACCCCCGGCACCTAAAGGTGCTAGATCTCCAGCCTCCATGCCACTGTGGCCTGGAAGTACCCAGGGTCGAGACCCAAGACGGTCACCCACATCCGGTCGCTTGTGAACCACCCTCGTCTGTAGTTACGCCTTACTGAATGTGTTTTAGAAGGGCTCCGTGTGTGTTTTTCGTCCGCGTGGGTTCGTATGTTGTGTGCCACCATTGGATTTCCAGGCATTTCGTTTTAGGTTCGTGGGCAGCCCTGATATTCAGCATCACACTTGCCACCTGCCCCGGATGCATGAGTCAGACACGCCACCCGGGCCATTTGTCAGAGTCCCAGGCTGTGCGTCTGGTTCTGCTGGCCAAACCCCAAGCCTGTAGTGCCCTCCCCGCTACTGTCCATGGCCTACTCACCTCCCGTCCCGGGACAAACCCACCCTTCCACACAGCCTGACTTCAGCCCTCCTGCCAGGGTAACCCCTCCTGCCTGTGAACTCAGCTCTTGATATTTGTCCTGGGCGCGTCTGGCATATCACGACGCCTCTGGTGTTATTGCCGATGTGGTGTCGGTTAGCCCCTTCCCTGCCATTTAACTTTGCATCCATACAGGTTGTTTCTTCAGCTCACCTCTGAAATTCTTTGTGACAGGGAGTCTGCCTCCTGGATCCCCTCTACCACTTTGTATTGTCATTGAATGTATCTTCAGTAACCATGTTAACATGTGCAAGGGACCAAGAAGGAAGGAAGGAAGGAAGGAAGGAAGGAAGGAAGGAAGGAAGGAAGGAACCGAGCCTTCCAGCCCCACTTGTTATAAAGGCTTGATGGAAGATAATGAGCAACACAGAGAGCAGACGGATCCCTGTCTGAGGCTTGGAGGCTCCTGAGTATGCACAGGGTGGGCGGCTTATGGGCAGTGGGTAGAAATGGGGTGTAGGCATTCACTGGGTAGTTACGTTTTCATAGCAAACACACCATTTTGGGCATTATTGCACATTTGTTTGGAACTAATGGAAACTTAGGGGCATCTAACCCCCCAAGCCACCCCTTAGCACCACCACTGCAGGGGTCAGACAGGACCCGGGATTCCAGCAGCTTCCGAACCCATGACGTAACAGATAATTCAACTTAAACTGCTTTTTAGGATCCCAAAGTAACCATCTGCCTACATCTTATGCCGGCTGTGCTGATGTTGGTTTTACACTGCCCAATAGTGTTCATGAAATAAAATTTCTATTTCGTGTCCTCAAACCCCAGTAGTCTGGGGGAGGGTCTGGAGGCACAGACAGGAACAAAGAGAAGCGGATGAGACAGGCAGACAGAGATAAGG